TTTAAAGATAGCTCAATATTTATGATAGTTACATTTAAAAGTGGTTCAACAAGTTAGTGCAAAATGTTTGTATGTTATATGTTATGTAACTTGTTCAATAACTCATCCGTGTTCAGAAAACTGTTATGTTTGATAATTTAAAAATATTTATTAGAATAATAAATAGTAACTAACCAGATTTTAATTCGAATTGAAAAATCTTTTAAACCTTATGATAAACACTAATTGATTTTAAATTGTATACCAACTTACACTAGGCGATTAGTACAAGCATGTATTAAAATGAAAGCTTTGTTATAATCGATCACTTGTCGGCTAAAAGACAGCCTCGTATAAGTAATCCTATTTCCAGTAATCTGAAGTAGTCAAAGACTTAAATCTTATTTACACGGTATTGCGGCATTAGCGCACCGATCCTTCGTAATCCAGTTTAGGAAAACACCGCCTACCGCATAACAATGGATATGAAAATTGATTGTACCTTACATATGTTCAAAAAATGTGCTTTTTGTACCTATTTTCCATCGTATAGAGTGACGATGGCCAAAATTACTTTCTTTGTATCGGGATTTAGTAGTGTCATATGCTTGTTTTTTATTTAAAATTAAAGTCAAACATTTAATTAAAGTCTTTACTGGCTCAAATGAACTTTTGATTAGATGGCAAATTATTGTAAGCCCGTCGTAAATTAAGAACTTTATATAAATATGTCAAATGATAAATTTATAGTTAAATTTAAAATAATACGATGTATGATCACAAATTTAAAAAGTCGTTACATCAATATTAAAACTTTTCTCTTGGACTCGGTCCCAGTAGCAAGCGATTCAAGTAAACGAATACGTATCCAATCTAACAAAATAGCGGCAATTACAATCCCGAACTAGAAGCTATAGAATGTAATAGCCAGCCTTCGACAACAGATAAATAAAGGAATGTTTTGTTTCTCAAAGTAATAGTCTAAATAGCGTCCAATAACAGAACTGAGCCGTTGGAAGTGTGACACAAACAATAATAGGCCAAGACGAAGTGGACACGTACAAAGTCGCAGAATTAATCAGTTAGTCACACTTGTGCCAAAACTGAGGAAGAGTCGATTAGGAGGGCACCTTGTGGATTATTGAGACATTGGCGGCGGCTCGCCAGCTGTGGCCAGCGAAGTTGCCGATATTACCGGGACAAAGCTGCCCCAACTTGTAACAACTGCCCAAGAACTTGCTGTTCTATTCAAGCTACATCATTCGATCAGCATTCTTGAAGAAAGACTTGCTTGTTTCTCGTTTAATTTATTGAAGTCACAAATATGTAAATTGTTTATTATGCATTTACGGCTTCATTTTAAGTGTGTTGAAAAATATAGGTAAAAAATTCAAATTTCTATTCTTAACAATATTTAACGACATGTATAGGAATTAAACGTGTCTACACTACAGTGTAGTATCTAAGTTAGTAATTTGGTCTAACAAGTAGTGAAAACATTAATTAATGTTAAACATGTTAAATTATACATTCATTCGAATTTTAAAAGAGGATAATTATATTTCAACAAATTATTCTATAGTTCGTTATACTCCTCATCAGTACATTATTTATTTATAAGTCGGATCGAGCTCTGCATATGAGCTCAAAGTACTTTACGTATCGGTAGATTTTATTTCAATTCGTGCGTGCCATCGCCGAGGGTCGTTCGCAACTTTATGATGACCATTATACTTGTTTTCGTGTAATAAATTTTAAATTGACTTAGAAAACAGTCATGATACTTTGGAATTGCTTTTATCACCTATACTGTTTAGTACTGCGTAAAATATTTAGGCGATTATTATTACAGTTGTATTAAAAGCTGTTAAAATTTTATTTGGCATTATAACTCTTAAGACCTTTAAGAATCTTTAGATATAGAATATTTGTAGGGCACCGTTTGAGTCATTAAAAGTGAAGCAGTTTATTTCAAAGTTTATTAAAGGCGAGCTATCTGGAATTCGAAATCCACTCTGCCAAGTATTAGAGCGCTGAAACAATAGCAACGCAAAGGATGAGAGATACGACGAGCTAATGCACAAAGCAGATCCATCCTTTACGTTGATTGCTCAAAACAGATTGCAGATTTTACGCACTTTCATCCGTACTTTTATCATAATATTGCTACAAGAATTCAAATAGAATAGTTAAGTTATATAAATTATTTCATACACGATAAAATATAATTCCAGTTAAACTTTTCTAAAATATACGTACTTTTATGTATATATTTGAAGTTTTTGTATTGAATACAACAGTGACATCTAAATGGAAAGTTCGTAACAACAATATCCGGGGTATGGTGAATGCGGGTGTATCGTTTAAAGGTTTTTGTTAAGCCAAGACCTCAACTGCGTTCGTCCATTTTATGTGCGATACCGTCAAGTGAATACATCGGATATACGAGTATGCTCGGATGCCAGCTCCGACTGTCAATCACAGAACGCTGATTGGATTTCGATATTGGCACCAATGCTGACGTCGTTTCACGATATCCATACTCCCTATACAAACAAAACTCGAACAAAAACTTTACATGCGTCATCACCGGCAAATGGAATTGAAATAAATATTGTATTGGTCTTTATGGTCTTAGTTATGGCTATTGCCGATCATAAAGTGATATCATATACATTTGATGAAAACAAACTGTGACGGAAAGGTAATGTGAGCTATAATTTTCTTTATTATAGCAATTTATTAACAATAAATATTATTTTTCCTTCAGAATAAATTGAAACTGAATTGTAAACATTTTTATGTTATTTTCAAATAAAGTCGTTATGAATTCCTTCTTGCATAATATAATATAAATGTGTATTTGATGTTTAGTCCAAAATTTAACACATAATTTGAAATTGATAATAGATAAGAATTAAAGTCACGGTATCTTCCATTTAAAAATGGTAAATTTCTAAATAAGAAATCTACATTAAAAGAAGCTATCAGTGCTCCTATGGTTATTTAAAGATATAAGATATTTATAAGAGAATTTTAAAATACGTTTTCAAGGTACTGAAGACGCTCACGGAAGGCACCTCTAAAGATTATCATATTCCTTCGCTGAAACACTATCATGACCTTTTTCAATAACGGGCTTGCCTTACTAAGTATACTGAGCGACTTTAAAGTGCCAATATATTGATAAACTCGTTTATAGATTTAATGTTAGGTCTTCAAGTATGGTTGGATCATAAATATTTTAGACAACGTTAAGTTTCTATTTATTTTTAACAAAATTTTATCCGTAGCTTCGATAACGATAAAATTTACTATGGAACTACATCGTTTTAGATATTTATGAAACAAAAAGAGTTAATATGGGAGATGTTATTTAAAAAATATAGTTTCGTAAATATAGAGTTTCATGATATCAGTTACATTATTGTTGTATAATCAAACATAAATACTAATAGTCTTTTGTATGAATGTTATTTGTAAGCTATTGAATGCATATTTTGTTGCCCATTGACGAGCAAAATTCTAGAGCGGCTGTGAAATAAAAAGTGGTGTGTAAAAAAAATAAAAATCAACATTCTGACATTTATTATTTGGATAAAGGTTTATAACTGTCTACCATCCGTTTTTTATACATGTCAATTTCGTTTAAGGTCTCTCGACGCTCAATATATTTAATTAGCGGCTTGACCTCTTTTCGATATATTTAATTTTGTAAATGGAAATAAACCGAACCTAGAGCACAAAAACATCGGTCACGTACACATTTATTCCTCCGAGGATAACGCTCAAATTGTGAAAGAAAAATGTTAAATAATTAATTTACACTTTATATAAATAATATTTTCTTGTTCTTAATATCGTCATTTTGTAACGGTAAACATTAAATAGACTTTAAATTTAATTGATATTTATTCAATCTATTGTGCATCTATATATCTATTACTAGACAAATTACACCTGACTATAAGGTCACTACTGTGTTAGCTATAGACATCCTTATAACCTATTTTGTGCACAGCAGTGGTATCGCCCATTCCAAGCGTAAAAGATTTGGTACTAATATTATATATAATGGTAAAACTAATGCCATTGTGGATTCAGACACATACCTCGACACGGGGATGATAATTATACATATTTCACTAAAAAAAAATATTGTATTCTTTTTGCTACATTTTCTCTACTAATCACAACGTTCGTTCATCATTCATTGACTTGTAAAGTTTTTCAAATTAATTTAAATTATAAAAAAAAAACCTTGTAAAAAAAATATATAAGTGAGAAATAGAGTTAAAGTGAATTTTGTATTTTGTAAGTCCAGACTTGGTTACAATTACAGTTATATTATTTATTTATCCTCAGCAGCGGCGCCTCGTCCGGGTGAAGGAATTGATTTCTGCATAATTTAGTAGCGAAAACACCTCTCTGGGATCCCTATGTAATAAAAACAAAACATTTGTTTGTATTTTACTACTTTCCCCTTGAATAAATGAATGCATCTTTAATGTTTCTTCCTGTTTATGTAATCAAAAACTAAAAACTTTTCTAATTTATGTTTTGTCTGATTCTCGCCACAAAATAATGAACACTTGATTCCCTTTGACAGTCCACGTCTAATATTTTATTCAAAAGAAGGATTCGTTAACATAATAATTAAATGCGTTTTATGAATATCAAGTCCGAGGCGTCGTCTCGTAAATAACCTAACTTTTCTTACTATTCAGCTCAATACACATTGTGCATATTAATTACTGACTTTTTGGTACAGTACAAAGTAGCCTAATTAAATTTTAGCATCGCCCGAGAGCTAAACCTTAAAGAGTCTTTTATTCGTCTTTGAATATTTATAAAGAAATTTGTGTCATAAAAATTTATTAAATTGTATTTTATAAAGAATAACAAAACGGGACATGAATATGTTAATTTGGTTAGCTGGAAACAGCTACGAAACGACCAACATAATTAATAACAAACAAAATTAAATTATCATGTGTGGTACGATGTAAAACATCCACGTATTAGCACGTCGGGGGCTCAGTCAGATTCTTGTAGGTAATTAACCGTCGTAATAAATTAGAGTGTCGGGTGGTGTCCAGGCTCATTGCGGATGCAGGGCACGCCGCCGCCCAAGGATGCGGCATCCAAACATTGTCACTGCACCGCAACTCCAGCTGTGTTCGCTAGTTAGTGCCTACACAACACTTTACATGTTGAAATATCGTTGCTAGAGCGTATGTGGTAGTCATATCTGAGTGTAAAGTTAACTTATTTAATGTGGACATTTATGAAGGCCAAAATATTCATATATTAGTTTGTTTATTTATTTATAAATGAGCACTATCAAATCTAGTCTTTCGGTTTTATGTTTTGTTTATTTAGTTACTTTTAGTTATTCCGTTTAGTGCCAATTTACGGAGGAGTTGGAAATTCTGAATGTCTTTCGAAGTACTAGAAAATGGTAAGGTAGCTTATTCTTGCCCTTGTATCCTCATATTTAGTGAAATTCATACAATCATACTTAGTGAAATTAATGAAGAGATAGTTAAAAAATGTGCAGGTATGTTCATTTATAGTTAATTCTTATTTTTGTTCTATAACAAGAATAAGTTTTATTAAAAAAAATATAGAATGCTTTTCTAGGTAAACCAAGATATCAATTGATATAATAATTTCCATCCGCTTTAGCCATATTCTTATAGCTAACTGTCAAAGCCATAATGTTATATAAGATTTTTGAAGTTCATTTAAATGAAATTAAGGTTTTTCGAATTATACATAATCCAGACGTTTCGGTTCCTTTGCAGCAACGTGAACACTGGCAGCCGCAATGGAAGGGTTGACACTTCATTCTCGTCGATTATTATTAGTCGTAAAATAATAAAAAAGGTGTAGTATTATCCAGAAATCTTTAATTTCAACTATCAACCCCATCCATTGCGTATTACTTATACTTTAAAGTGGTCGTAAAGGTTTTAGATGAAAAAGATCAAATATTGGCGTCAGAATGTGAATAGAAAAAATAACAATTTGAACAAAATATTGACTTGTAACATATACTATACTAAACACGAGAAAGACACTGTGATATTATATGTCAACTTGCTTCCGTCCAGTAGCTTCAGGTAATCGCTCGCGCTCACGTTTCTGATGGAGTTTCCAAGCTTCTAAACTAGTTGGCTTGTTGTCGAAAACTTTGGACGTCGTGTAGTGCAGGTACATGTACAGACTTATCTTAGTATTCAGACAGATTCTGTTCTAAATCTTATGAACGCTTGAAAGTGACTGCGATAGATATGTGTTATATTAGTTTAATAACGACAAATGTTCTAAACTTCTCAGCTGTGAATCGTCTTTAACATTAAAATTTATCGTAGCAGTGTTTGAATATTCGTTTTTATATTTAAGTCCGTGTTTGCTTAACGTTTTTCACTTTTTTTGTCATTACAAAATATTGATATGACAATATCACGTATAGATGACAAAGCGTTATTGTTAACTATGATATTAAAGAAAACTTTGCCACTTTGAATGGCGATCACGACGTCGCACATACCAAATGACGGGCTGGAGGGGAGATATCGCGTGTCGACGTCTCCGTACATCCCAAACGACGTAGATGCTATGAGACTTATGAGGATTACAGAAATGCGTATTCGATGACATTTTTCGAGGCCGTTGTATAAGATGAAATATAAGGAATTGTAAACGTGACTCGAATTTTTATAAGACTCCACCTATTACCGGTCCATATGCGTCTGGATACTCGCGGTTGGGCGGATGGGTACCGGTGAAACCGACCATGACTTCCGTTGCTGTTATAAAAATATAAGTATGAAAAAGCTTTGTTAAACGCGACTTCGCTTCTCTCAAGTGCCAAACTTGAAAGTGGAAAACTTTATACGGAAAAATCTTCGGGAAAAAACTATTAAGATTCAGAAGTATTCGTACACAGAACTTAGAATACATTTATAGAGGTGGTATTGATCGAGTCGCTTGTGCTTAACTTGTATGGCAGCTAAATATAGAGGCGTTAGTGCATATTCAAAAGTCTCATTTATTATTTATATGTAGTGCATAGTTGAAACGCTGGTGGAAGGGGAGTTATTAAATGATATAATTCAATATAACTAAGTGTGCGATGAGGAGTGAATGTAAACTGAATCCAAAACAGAAAGCGTCGATTTCATTTTGAAGTCGCTGTATCTTCATTTGGAACGTGCCTTCAGACTTGCCTATGACTTGATGCGACTTATATAGTACATACTCGTACTTATTAAATATAGAGATAACTATTTCAAAGTTTTCCATCTGCATTGCGAATTGTAGTCATTTTACAGTTTGTTTCATTTTTATTAATATTAATAATAGAATATTCAAAATAATCAAATTTTTGAAATTAAATATGTAATTTAAAATGTTAAATTAAATATTTGAATAATGATACAATGTTTAATTATTGAGCATTTAAGAAAACAAAAGCTTGCTAAAGAATCAGGGTTGTAAAGATTCTTTCTCATAATAATGTATAAGTCAAAAAATGTGTTCAAGCTGAATATTACCAATATTTCAGTCCAATGTTGATGTAATATTAAATTTATACTATTTGTTAATTTAGCTCAAGTTATAAATGAATTGTTATAGACATAACTATATACACGTCTAGAGTTATATTTCTTTAGCATATTGTACAGTAAGGTTCATAATCGTGATGAAAGATGTTATTAAAGATAGGAAGCATAAAACGTGCTTCTAAAGGAAAACTTTCGAAGAAGCATTAAGAACCTACTCCGGATTCGGACCCTCGTTACAATCACCCTTGAATTATTTACCATTGCCGATGTAAGTGGGCCGAACGAATTGTGCATAATTAATTGAAGTAATTGAACTAAAGATGTTAAAGTTTGAAAACAAAATCAGGATGTTTGTGCTTTTATAGTCGAATGAGATAGAGATCCTACGAGATCGGCAACGTGGGTAATATTAGATAGTTGAATCAAAAATGGGGGAGGCAAAAATAAAATCAGTACAGATATTAGGATTCGGTACACGTGCCGTAACGGAGGTTTTGGTAGAGGATGCGGCGTCGGCTACCGCAGTGCGCTCGTCCCGCCCGTTCGTCCGACCGGGAGATAGCTATTCTACCTGTTCTAAGACAATTACCGCTACGTAAACGGAAAATTGTTCGAGAGCTCTTCGAAACGTGTTTTCTAATCTTCGGTGAGGCGGATTGAGGAGAAAAGAAACCGCAATTTACTCCTTCGATCCTTAACCGAGATTGTAAGGAAATTTTAGCAATGAAACTTTTTACGTTCAGCATTCCGGCTTATTGTAAACATAAAAGAAACTACGATGGTCGTGAATAACAAAGATAATATCATACACGAATCATAAACTGCATGCAAAAGAATAAATATGACATACGTATGAGTGTCACGAACAGTTTAATATCCAACACAATATTTTCACAAAATGTCGCTTTCCGAGCTACATCCGTCGTCACAAACAAAGTGAAACAACTCTAATGAACTTTTTTGTCTTGGAAAAAGTTTAAAAGTAAAGTTTTTTTACAGTTTAAAAAATATATGTAGTAGTATGCTTTTAGAACGCTTCCAGTATCATATGCTGTTTAGACGGTATATCAGTGGTGTAATCTCGTTTATTCGTTATTGACGTTTTGTCTAGAAAGTTAGTCGGAACGATATAGTTGACGTAATTCAGCTTTGTTGCTGTGCGGAACACCCGTGCTTCGTTAGAGCTTAATTCAAGAACAAGCAAACCTATGAACTAGATAAAGTTAGTGGCTTTGAATTAAACGAGTTCGGTCATGGTTAAATAAAAGTTTAATTTATTTAACTTGTTATCAGAGAAACTTGCCGGTATAATTAATAGGAAAACTAAATCTGTCTGGGAAAATTATACGTTATATTAAGTGAAAGTTTATTTATAACAATCAAGGTTATATTTTAATTATTGCGTTGTTTACTAGAGACTACATATTTAAGTAATGAAAAGTTAATGTCTGTACATTTTCCCGTGTGCAGCCAGAGGCCATTATCAATAAATCGCGCTGTTTGCTGCCCTCCTTCCTAGTTTCTCCGCACTCGTCTGACGTTAATCAGCTTCTTACTGGTCTAGATTATATAAGTCCGTCTGGATACTCTTGCTTCTTTTGTTTCCACTCGGGTCAGCGGGAATACAATCGCTTTTACTTACAACGGTTCATAGCTGTTATTGGATTTACTTGAAAACTTATCTTTGGGTTATTCTCGGCAATATTAGTTGATATTAAATATCATCTGTCATATTATACTGTAAATTGCTTAGGACAGTTGCGCGATTACAACAGCCATGACCTTTTTACTTGTTGTTTTCTTCTTTAGTAACACTTTCATTCGTAAGGCAGTTTAATTTATAATATCAATTTTTAAACTATATAATTACTATAATTATTTAAAAAAAATCTGTTTTTAATTATTTCTTACTGACCGTTTAATCTATTATGTATTTTTTTCCATATACATAGTTAACAAAATATATTTTGAATGTGTGTTTTATTGCCTTAAATGTCTTCTTTTTTAATGTAAGCCTTTTACAAATTTAATAGTTCGTTAAAGTTTTGCTTATTACTTTATTATCCCTCTTTCTTATAACGATCTCAGTTGTTACTTGAATAGTGTATATTTTTAAAGAAATTTACTTACTTACTAATTACTACATAATAATTTGTAGAAGGATCGTCGTTTAAGAATATTCGGTTAACATTGGGCAGGCCAACCGAAATCATGTTTATAAATGCGTTAGGGTTGGAGACTACAATATAAATTAGGACCAAAAGATATCTAGACAACATAAAATAATAACAAGATGGCTGTGGCGTTTTCTTACAAATCCCTCGGGTAACGATATCTCGTTCTATGTTATAATAACGCACATTTCCATAAAAGTACAATGGTTTACATATAAACCCAACCTGAGATGGCACAATCCCGTATCATGTATGGAAAGCGTCTTGACATTCCGGTCACGTTTAATATTTCTTATTTCCTTGGTCTCATTTGTCCCCGAGTCAGAAAGGCATCAGGCTGTTTCGCTGTTTTTTTGTTTCATTCCGTAAGAGCTCCCCTTCATTATTATTACACTCACGACGTTATCTTATTAATTGTTAATAATTACCTTAATTTTTTACTTGATAACTAATTCAACTTTCATTAAGTATAATTGTTATTTAATGAGATAATTTACGACTCATATTGATGTACATATACGGCTATACTATTTATGTAAATTGGTACATTTGACGTAACATCTTTATATGTTGTAAATTTAATGTATTACGTATGTTTGTCAGTTAATTGGTGTATTTATTGCGTGAGGGCTTAGACAACGAAACGCGTAATTAACCAATTGTAAATTACGCCGCAGGAAGACAATGTTATTGAGAATAATAAGATGTCTTGGCAGGTTAACTTACTGAATAACTCAATTTGCGGTCGATGACCAGACAAAGGTCTATACAAAACCCTTTGGGCGTAATGCGCTCGCCGAGTTATGGCATGCTACAAGCCACCTAATACCTATTAGTCTATTCAGCTATACGGGTAGCTAATTTAGTCAGGATAATAACTGATAACGTTGAATAGCTTTTTTTCTCAGATTAAATTGTAATATAACACAAGTTTTTTAAGAGTTCGTAACCAACTTCGTACTTAAATTTTAATCTCTTTAAAATCTTTATAGCTACCGATAATTTTAATCGAATACAAATGAGAGTATGATAGTAAAAGAAAACAAGTAATAAATACTATAATCTTTAAAAAACATTTTTGCTTTTCCGCTTCAAGAAATAAACAGAGCGGACATAATGTTACATGTATCTTAAAATAAAACTGAAAGGCATGTGTATACTTAATAACATTGCCTTGATGCTTCTTCGAAAAAATATGATCTTGCTAAAATTATTCATACAAACTTCTCTTTTGGACTGGTAATACATTATTTTTATAAACTTAACTTTATAGCTTACTTTATGATTGCTATTTCTTCCTTTGATTATTCATTATTCTTAATGTCTTAAAATGCATTTATAAAGTATATTTATTTATAGTTAGCAAGGGTCACATTTGTCTGAATAAATATGAAAAATATTTATATAATATAAATCATCTTCAATCAGAGTTCTAGGCTTTGTACATTTCACGGGAATCGTTTCCATTTGATATTGGATAGCAATTTATTTATCATACATATTGCGGGCGAAGCAGTCGAAACTCGCTGCGATCGCGTCTTTCGTTACCAACGAAATCAGAAATCGAATACGTGTGGCGAATCCCGCTTACAGTCATTGTCTTAAAATGTAACTATTAGTTGTATAGTCAACCTGGATTTCTTATTCTAATATATTAACAATTGGGTCCTATGTTTTGTAACAGGTTTTAAATCGAAATTTAAATGTATATATTCTTATTTCAAGTACCGTTTCGAGCAAAAAGAATCAAGTTCTCAAGCTTTTGGAAAGCAATTAATTAATATATCTTTCCGTTTTACTGTTAAATTTACCTGAAAAAATTGTAGACGAAAATAAATACGTGTGTTTTTAGTTATGGTTTAGATGCTAAATCAGATTTTTAAAATGAACGATGGTATAATAAAATAATTTTGGAAGATGCAAATGTTTTGTTGGCTTCACTCCACCGATCTCACATTACTCCACGAGCACCATATCCATCGATCGATTTAAAATTACCTTAGATTTTTTAAAACATCTCCCTTTATTTGTTCTTTTTTTCATTTTTAGTCCCGTT